ACTTGCACAAACTTGAAAATGAGTGTGTGTGTGGGTATGTCTGTGTGTATTGAACATGATTTTCAAATTTGCATTAGAAAAATGATTTTGGAAGCGCGTATAGCAGTTTGTTTTCATGACTCACGCTTTAGATGCTTATAGGAGGAATTTTATAATAAACAGCAGAAACACATTATGAGTAATGTATGTACGAGTAATAAATTAGTTGTAGTCTAGAAAAAGCAGGGGGGCGGGTCTAGCTTGCTCTCCCTCTTAAATGGGAAAATTTCCTTTTCTAATCCTACTCTGTAATGGGGCCCTATGGCTCCCCTTAAAGGGTCTATACAATTTTATCTGTGCCAGGAATTAAATGATTAAAGCATTTTATTCCTTTGTTCTTTGATTGACTGCCACTGCTACAAACTCCATGGAGCCTTATGCTTTAACAGTCTTCAGAAAATTGCATCACTACAGTATACCTGGACCAATGATGAGCTGAAATATAAAGAAAAGGTAATCACCGATTTATAGAGACTGACACGAGTAGTGCAATACTAATAAATAACTATCATTTCTCAGTTTCCTTTCTATTGCTTTGGCAAACCTTGAAGACACAAAAAGGCACTCAGGCTAGCAATTGCAAAAGTAGCTTTTTTCTGTGTCATTTATAGATTGCAAAAGTAATATGCTCCCATTTAGAGATGGGCTTTAAAAATGATGGACGTTAAACTGGACTTTCCAGCTTTGTTCATATGTGCAGAAGGGAATGCTCAAATGGTATCCTCTTTCTGGTTCCATCTGTTAACTTTGTAATCAGATTAGTAACATGCAAGGAGTACTAACTTGTCTAGATCCCCACAGGAATAGACCAGATAATTTAGGCAGAAAAGGGACAGAGCATGGCATACCTGCACAACCTTTACTAAGGTTAATGACTTGCAGAAATTAAAAAATGTGTCTGTATATTTTTACAGTCCTCATTTTAGAGGACAGTTGGGTTAAGAGGGAATTTTTTTATCGAACAGGAAATAGAAAATGTTATACATAGGTCTGAATCAAATTTTAAGCTGATCATGCAGTTTGCATCTATGGATTACTTTCATTAGGTAATCCAGTTAACTAGCTATTTTTGCATGGAACAGTCCAGTTTAGGTATAGATACCAACAAGAATAATCTATATGCTAGATATTTCCTAGATAGGATAGGAAGAATTGTAAAGAAGCTGAAAAGGGGAAATATAAAGAAAAAGAGTGTTTAATGCAAATCAACAGGGCTTACTGGGAACATGATGAGAAAATGTGCGTGCTCCAATCACCCTGACAGTTGCATGAGATGTATAGGAATTTTAAATGCTAGCAGGGACAAGAACCAGAGTGGTCAAAGGGTAAGGACCAGATAAAAAGAAGTCCAGAGATTCTCCAGGCTGGAGCTTGAGCCTTGGGTCAAGAATTGATCCTTGTGAAGAAGCTGTTTTAGACTGAGGCATAATTGGACAGCTCTACACTGTAGGTAGCAGTGATGCTTGTAGCAGCAGTGGCAGATGGGCTGCTGGTGGCAGTATAGCAATTGGACAGTGGTTGATGTTTTTGTGCTCCCATAAGCCAGTGCCCAAGGCCGATGCCCTGGTTATCCCCCTTGGTTATGCTACTGGTTTTAGAAATGCAATAAGTTATCCATTCCAGAAAGCAGTGTAAAAGACAGGGATGATGAATCTTTGTTTATGCTGTAAGCATTGTCTGACAAGAAAGATTCAGACTCGGAACAAGGCTCATTATAAGCTGAGTGGAAACATGGGTTTGATTCGTTTGTTTTGCTTTTTAGGGGGGAAAAAAAAAAGATTTGAAAAGTGAAAAGATCTCCGAGATTTCTGTGGGTAATCCACAAAGAGTTTGAACCATGGATGGGGAGCTTCATGGAAGAAATCATAGGACCAGACTGTATGAAAAGCTGTGTAAATGAGTGATCATAACTGAAAACAACGGAGTCACACAAAGGACACAGAATGTGACAAAAAGTACAATGTAGAAAAATAGACTGAGCATGTAAGTGTAGTTAAAGAAATTAAAATGTGCAGGATAAATGCAGCTAACACTAACAGAAACAGCAAATAAACCTCAAGGGTGAACTCTGACCCACAATTACTAGAAAAGAACGAAATTATCAAAATCTCACAAAAAGGTTAGAAGCGGTTTGATTTATGACAAAACTGAGCATCAAAAATATCTGTGCCAGCAACTATTATTAAAAGCCTTGAGGTGCAGGCTTGCGAATTGAACATTTTCAATTTATCTAGCCCTTAAAATGCTTTTTGACTTCTTGGATTAGAGGCAGTTGGATACCAGCAGAAGTATAAATCAGGGCTTATTGGGTATTAGAAGAAAATCTACTTGAGCATTGCAAAAGGGTTTACAATTTGATAAATATTCCAGCTGAGTATTCATGGAAAGCTGTATCTTCTTCAAGTGTGTGCACAGCCTGTGAATTGATCATCTCAGCCTAATATTCTTCTTCAGGAGTTCTACTGATGTGTGAAGTGGTAAAGAGCTGATCAGAATCAAGTATTTTACATCAGATAAAAATAGTATGTGATACTTAGATCAGAGACCCGATGCAGGAAGTTGTTAACAAAAAGGAAAAAAAAAACCCATATCCTATCCCCATTGTAGCATGAAAATGTATTCTGCCCAGGAAAAGGGCAGCAGTCAGTATGCGGATTTAGACGTCTGTGAAAGATTAATTTTTGCAATAGTTCAGTCAGTCACTGAGGAGCTTTTTGGTGGCAGGCCTGTTAAGTCAGTACACGTCTGGCAAGATCACTTTTGGGGGGAGGAGAGACCATATTGATATGGATTAATGTGTGAGGCTGACATGTCGTTTTAATTCCTTTTTTCCCCCGCCTTTATCTCCATAGCCCAGAGGACAGGCTGTAAAATATAGTAAATTTTAGAAACAGATCTCTCTTTACACAGATGCAGGGAGGCTAGTCCACTCACTGTGAAACAGAAACACTAATAGTTTGCCAGGATTCAAATCACTCACATGCTTTTTTGCCTTTTGTGAAGGCCTACAGCTGATGAACACAACTGATAGTTTGCAATTGTCACTGTAATGAAGTCTCAGCTACCTGAAGAGTTATGGAAAATATTTACCTAAACTCTTCTACTTCCTGTTCTATGAAAAGTTTCCTTTGTAAAGAGTTAGTTAAAACTTTCTTATGAGGTGGAGACTTCTGTCTAAGCAAATTACTGTTTTGTACAATAGCTGTTATTCTGTGTATGCAGGTATGTTATACAAGCACAGCAGAAGATAGACAGCAAGATATCTATCTGTCATTATAATCAAGCCACTAGAGTATAATTAAATGCTACCACATATAAAGGGATGCCATCTCCAATGTTCCTCCCTGACTTGCTCCTCTTCTCATTATTGTATGTGCTACCCCTTTTTGTAGGGAATAAAACTTTCTATCTAGGTATTCTGATTTGTACCCACTTTGAAATATTTAAAACTAGGAATCCTAGACTTCCAGCCCTGTGTTCATGACTGGGAAATGAATAGGTAAATGGCTCCTGATACTACCATCATCACACTGGGCTTGTAGCACAAAAGTTGTGAAAAAATTGTTCAGCATTTCCCAACACTCTCCAAACAAAGCCCTTGGGCTGCTTTAGAAAATACAAAATACATGTCTGACCAGTTCTTCAAAGGAGGAGGAAGAGGAAAATCCCTTCTCAGCTGTGGAGTATGTGCTTAGAGTCAAAACAACCAAAAAAGTGCTCAAAATTTTATCTCCTAGATAGGGATAACCCTATATCAGGAAGGAGGCAGGGCAGGATAGGACCTTACAGACTAATTTGTTTAGCAATTAATAAGCTTTCATAGGTTACAGCCTACATCATGCTAACCATACATACCTACCTAATGCTATGCCATGTATAATGAAGGCTTTAAAAAAAAAGGGCAGATGGTTGGAGCTAAATTCCTGGCCAAACCGCTGATATGTTGCTCACAACTCTCTACACATACAAGTGAGCTTATCAGGTTCCCAATGGTCCAAGAGTGGAGCAATCAGTGCCACTGGGAACAGGTAAGTGGACAGCAGATAGGAATTCTCCAGAAGGACATCCTTAGGTTATATCCCCTCATAGAACGGTAGTTACTATACACAGTTGCTGCAAATTTACCAGATTTTACCAAGTTTACACTAAAATATAATATTACCATCATTTATCATATGGAGTTTCTAAACATTCCTCAATAAATCATACAATTTATTTACTGCAGCTCATCATCTCAAGTCTTTTGACACAATTTTTTTATCAAGTTAAAAATATATATATATATATATATATATATATATATATAAAAGAAGAGATTTATAGGGGCGAGGAGTCAGAAATCAACTAGATCAACTTTAATATGAAATTTTTGTGTGTAATGATATCTATTACAACACTCCAGGTTAGCTGCAAACATTTTGCTCAGTGCCCTCCTTTAGATGATGGACCAGGTTTATGTACATATATCTTTCACAAAACTTCACTTTGATGTGTGCTTTTCCTGGATTATTTCACTATGTTTTTCTTACATTGTTAAATATTTCTACACACTCAGGGTATGACAATGTATCAACCTCTTGTTTGTTTTCTTGACTTCTGTTCTTTTAATTTATATTTTATTAATATTTAGTTAAAAGAAGGTTATTTGACTCTCTCCTTATGGCATTATTTGATTATTTTTACACTTTCCTTTGTCTTGCTCTACAATAAAATACATTTCATCTTGTTTGATTTGCTGCCCCTATGGTATTCAACTACTTCAAATATTTTAAGTCTTATTCCTGAGAAAACTATAACTTCAATTAAGTGACGAAAGACACTGTTACATCAAAAAGCTTAAAAAAATTAAACTTCTCCCTCTTTTATATAACCCATAGTTAAATTCATTCTACATTACAAACTGTAATAGCATTTGTAAATGGAATATGGAATAACAACTGACCATGTTGTTATAAATATTTTCTTTGATATTGCTTGTACTACAATATTGGGCCTAATGTGTTAGCTTCAAGTAATAGAAATCACTAGGTGGAATCACTAGGTAGTATCATAAGTCAAATATCGTATGATCCAGTGTCAGGTGTCAGAAGTGCACGATATCAAATGAAAGGTACTATGGTTAGTGTATGAAGAAACAGAGAGCCCCTCTAAATAATTATTTTAATCTTATCCATAACTTACAAATGATTCATCTCTTCTGAACACAGAATTCATGAAAAATTGAGCATCTAACTCGGAACATGATACTGAGTTGGTCTTCATTATACTGAGAACGAAACTTGCAGGACAGCAAGTTTCACTATGTAAGGAAATATAAATGCATTCTGAGCAATTATTAATTCTACAAGGAGGCCTGTCACCTCTTTATTAGTTAGGGGATTAAGTTCAGATTTCCCTTCTGGCAACACAATTTATTATAGATCCAGGTTATAACTGAATTTCTCAGATATTCTTTCTAATTGATTGCATCTGCAGAAGTTTTTTTTTTTTTTTCAAATTTTTAAAATATATTTTAACCATGTAGCTCCTTCTGCAACAATGAATTAAACCCCAAAGAGTTCTAAAAATAATAATATTTAGAAAAAAATGGAATGCAGAAATTAATAACAAAACTCCACCAGTTTTCAAAGCCCCAGCAGTGCAAGGTGTCACTACTTCAGAATCCAACAGGAACTGAAATTTTGTAATGTTCCATCATCCAGAACAAAAATTCCACAAAAAGTAATTGCACATTAGTTGCCTTCCCTGATTCTTGTTATTCATTTCTTCCTTCAAGTTATACAGGGATGACCTCAGTCCTGTAAAGAAAGAAGTCAATTATAAATTGGTGTAAGTGGGTATAATTCCCATGCAAGTCCTAAACTATATTCAGCAGTGACATAAGCAATGCTAATTGTCATCCACTGGGTATAAATTATAACATAATGGATATAACCAGCATCAAATTTAAGTCTGTGATCATACAAAAGTACAACATATGCACCAGATTTTAATATGACCTCAGCACCAGGACGATCTCATTCACAGTTTGTCCTAAGATTCTGATCTTGACTATTGAAGGCAATGGGAATCAAACTGGAAATCAAGAAAGGAGAAAAATGTAGGAGAAGCAAGTAAAATCTTTCCCTGCTAAAACTAAATGACACCCTTGTGAACTTCAAACCTCTGAAGGAAGGGGGGAAAAAAAAAAAAATCAACCTTTGTGTAAGTGAAACACCCAAATGATGTTACACCATTTTTTCTACATGTTTACAAGGCATTTCAATAGTATTAAGGAGTGCCGTCAGTTGTAGTCAAATACTACTGCATTGTGGTTAAAGAACTCATTGGCTGGAGTTAGAGTGAAAAAATACTTGGTAATACAGTGTCCTCCCATTCTATCATCTGAAGCTTGTATTTAACTAACATTATGAGTCTGGATTCTACATTTGAAGAAAATCCTCTGATGACAGTCTAAATCTATAATATCCCAAGAATTTCTGAACATCCCTATTTTGTCTTAAGAGCTAGGGATAGACATTACACATAAACCAGTTTAAGTGATCAGAAACTGGTTTAAATTTGTAACAGAACAGATGTTCAGTGCACATAAACCAATTTGGAAATAGCTAAAACCGGTCTGAGATAAATCTGGTTGAAAATAGTATCAGACTTAACTGATTTGGATCAAACCAGTTTATGCAATGTCTGTCCCAGAAACCTTCCTGGTTTAAGTTAAATCAGAGCCCCCCAGAATCCCAGTTATTTCTTGGGTTAAATTTAGCTCTGGGTCTAGTTATATGGGCAAAGGAAGTGAGGCATGATTTGTTTAAAGCCTCAGTCCTGAACTAAAAATCAGGCATGTGCATCAATTCACCTGCCCAAAACTCCACAGAAGTCAATCCCATGCATGCAGAGTTCTGAATCCCCTCAGGGATCAATCCCTTAATTTCTCTGGTAAAATGCTCTGTGCCTCTATAGTCCTCTATCCTATCCACACTAGAATTAATTGTCATTTTCAAAATGCTTTGGATTCATGCAAAAGAGTTTTGAGGTTATATATATGTAATGTTCAAGAGGTCGTTTTCTTGAATAGATACCTGCATAAAAATTATTCTTCAGCATGTCAGGAAAAGCTCATACTGACCAGAAACCAATCTGAAGTCCAGTCTATATATTATCTACATTTGGAAAGGAAGCAGTTTTCTTTTGCTGAAAAATGCTTTCAAGCACCTAATTTATTCACTTTTATTTTTCTCCATAAGACTTGTTGGGGGAAAAATGCTTTTACAGTATCTACTTAATCTTTTCTTTTAGTTGACTTTCAAGATGTGCTTAATTGATCAAAAAGGCAAATTCCAAGTACCTTATATTAATAAGTACAAGGCATCATGCATTATTCAATAGGCTGACCTATATGCAAATAACAAAGCAGAAATTTTAAAAGTAAAAGTAATTTTATTGGTCTTTACTCCCTCTCATATCACAATTCGGCATGTTAATTCTGAATCTACACATTTAGAACAGAGTGTGTAAAGTGATATTTTGTTTCCTTGCTTGTTTGCTTTGACTGATCCTGAGGCAACATGGTCTAGTGCAGTGATTCTCCACCAAGGTGCCAGGGCACCCTGGGGTGCAGCAAGATTCTTTGAACGGGGCTGCAGGAAGTGTGAGGAGATAAACAATGTGTGAGGAAATAAGCAGCAAAGGGTAGACTCAGGCTTTCGATGCTGGATGACTTCCTCATCTCCACTGCCTAGCCCCTCTGGAAGGAGATAAGCACTGTAACAAATGAACTAGTTTTTTAAATGGGGTGCTACTCAATTCACAAAAAGTATGGAGTGGTGGCTTGAGTCTAACAAGGGGTGCCTTAATGCACATTGAATTGAGTCACACTTAAATGCTTGCGTAGATGCTCCCTAAAGGTCCCAGTGTGCCATGACCTTTAAAAAACAGTGTGTGCAGTTTTTTTTTCCCAATGTCACCTTATCATTACATGTATTAAGCCTTAAGCTCCAATTAAAATATACCACTCACCTTATCATTACATGTATTAAGCCTTAATCTCCAATTAAAATATCCCCCCTGCCTTTGAGATTGTGTATAGGCAGCCAGTATCTATAAACCCTATCTTTATTTTTTCATATTGGTATATGTTTTTAAAGGTTTATTTTATTTATAACTTCATATATGAATAAAATACGCCTTACCATTGGATAGGAAACAAAACCTGTAGCCTTGTTGCTGAGGGATGGTAAATAATAAGATACTTGTAAAGAATGGAGAGGATTCAAGATTTAAACTGCCTCTAGAAACCTCTGGTCTATTTATTAATGCAGTGCCTGAACTGCAGTTCTCTAATGAGGAATAATAAATTTTGCAGACACTTCTATTTCCAACAAAAATCCCTAATGGAAAAGAAACAAATAGCAACACAATTCTGAATGCTGGCCTTTTGGTCAAGTGAACGCTATCACCTGTGTGCTGCTGTGAGGTTGTTACTTGTCTTTGATATTCATTGAGAGAAACCACTCTTCTCCCAAAAGCCCAAACTGCTCACTTGTTCACTCTCAATCCCCAGTTGAAGAGCTTAGAGTCTATATTGGATATTGTCAGTAGTTCCTGCTCTTTTACCTTACAAGGGACATAAATCTAGGCCAACAAAGACCTTTTGCAGTTTCTTGCAAACAATAATATATTATTCTTCTCATTTTGATCAGGGTGTCAAGAATAATAATTGTACTATTTCATCATCTCTCTCTCATCGTTTCTTATCAATTAGATTTCAACTACACAATATCAGAACAAAAAAGTGGGGGAGGGGAGTTGTAATTTAGTAGGGTTTATGATCCAGTTACGTGGCATTAATTCACCATTCAAATCACCAACTGTCTAACATGAATAACACTAGTCATCTAACATTACTGTCTGCTATTTTGTCTTTGAGCACATTCTGTATAATGAAAATTTATACTTAATTGTGAGTATACATTTTTAAGAGGATTGATGTGCTAAAATGCATAGATTTATAACATAGAAGTATTATAACTATAAGAAATATTATTTATCCCATAGGAACACGGATTTCACTTGCACGAGTTTACTGTTAAACTAACACCATCAAATAGACTATGGCTGTTGCAAAATGCTTGAGTGATTATAGGAAAACTTCAAGGGATTTCAAAGTTTGGTTTTCATTGGGACCCAAAACCCAGAAGCTTATTCAAGCTTGATCTGCAATATAATGGGGCACTTGAATTCATTCAACTTTCACCTGCGTTCTCCGTTCTATTAGCATGCCACATTCTCTTCCATATTTTTATAAAGTTATATCTGGAATATGTAATATGCAGATAAAGTGACAAGGGAAGAATACCAGTAGATAACAGAATGTGGTTGATCATTAGCATAGTAAGGAGCTGGGTAAGTCTGATTGGCCATTGGATGGTCAGTCTCCACAAATTGAAATAATTAAGAGAAGTTTCAGGTGCTTTTTAAAACTGAACTCAGAGTATTAATAGGTTATATTTTCCTGATAAATTAAGTTAAAAGCCAGCTCTGGAACAGGGGTCAGCAATTTTTTTGGGCAGAGTGCCAAAACACCCCAACCTTGACTTCGAAGATGCTGGCATGCCAAGGGCAGACAGCAGGGGAGTCGCAAGGGGCCTAAGCCTTGTTGTGGCAGTGCAGCTTTGGGCCCTTCCTTGAGGCACCCGAGCCAAGCAAAATGCCTTTGCATGCCAAGCTCTGGCATGCATGCCGGGGGTTTCCTACCCTGCTTCAAAATGTTCCTGTGACTATCTGGGGCTAAAAGTGACTGAATTGTGTATCCATAAAAGGCAGATCATGATACCCTTGTTTGACATTTTTTACTTATCTTTTCCCACAAATGCATTGTTCCCTTTGTCAGCCCTCGTTTTTATAGACCACAAAATTCACAAAACTGACAGGTGGACTTGGCAATTATTTTGTCCATGTTTAAGTAGGTTAGAAATTGCAATGAAAAGAAACAAAAAATGAAACAGCTGTTTGGCAAAGGCTTTTCTCTGGCAATCACAATTCAATTACTTTTAAAGCATATTGGAGGACCATCGTGTAAACCTTAACACATTTGTATTCTAAACCTTATAGGCTCAGTACTCAGCTTATGCTGGTACAATTTTAGTGGAGCTAAGGGCAGTGAGAGGTGAAGGGAGCCATGTTTCTGCTCTCCTAATTCTGAGCTGATGTAATTTAGAGAAACCCAAGTGACTATTAAGATGTGCAATAATGAGTCTGTGCACCTTATGCTCTGTACAGGCCCTCAAGCCTGTTATATTCTCTTTGTAGGTTATGTGGGGAGAAACAGGTGGCCTCGAGTCAACTACAACAACTCTATGCCTATCAGTGATTCTCACAGGGCAGACGAAAAGTCTGGTTGCCAATCAGTGTCCAGGATTAAAATTTAAAAGTTCACTTGAGCCTTCTGACCTATTGCAATAGAATTATTAAGGCAAGCCATTTTAGCTAACAGCACATAAGGGTATGACTTGTCTGTCATTATATCCAGCTACATATGACCCTGCAGCCTAACTGACAAGGTGACCACTAATAGCTTTCAACAGAAGCCTACAACAAGGTTTGAAGTCAAGCCTCGAAAGCTATAGCAGGGTGTCATCATTTCTGCCATCCCAGCACATCTAAGATTGAAAAATGAGTTCTATTTTAATGCTAGAAATGAAGCCTGTGAATGGTTAGCTCTATAATGTAACTATACTATAAAGCCTAAATTAAAAAAAAGTTCAATAAATATACAGGAGACATTGTTAGACAAGATGTGTGTACTATGACAAACTTAAAATTACCTTAGAGTGCTTTAGTACTTGCTTCATGTTGCTAGATTTCCATCCATTAGCAGAATGAGATAGGAAGGAAGTCTTATGTTCATCGAAAACACCTATTTCCTAATGTGGACAGCAGTGATTTAGTTCCATTAAAAGTAATGGAGTGAGACTGCCTGTGAAGACTGCACAGAACATTGGGCACTAGCAAATATTACCAATGTGGGTAATAATAAACTTGCAGACTATTTTGGCTCACAGTTGAACAGAAGTTTCATTAGATTAAAGATTTAAACTTTAAACATGTTCACAGAAAACAGCATGAGAATCTGCTAATGTTTATTTGCAATCACTACACTTCCTAATAGAGCCCAACTTACATGTATGCAATGTTTCCTCTGTGTTTTATACAGTGCATATTAGATGTGATTCTAGCAGTGTAGACAACAGGGTCTCTGACGCACCACTGACAAACTATAGATTTAAGTTAGAACCACTTACATAAACCACTACTGTAATGCAGCTGTTCTTTAAAGGTAATTTTAAAAGAAGGTCAAAGAGAGAGAGCATGCGCAAGACTGACTTCTTGTGCCGAGACCTTGAAGTTTAGGTTTCACTTTGGTGTCTTTTTTCTTAAAAAAAAGAGAGTCTGTAAATTACCAAACTGAAATAAAATAGAAGAAGAGTAGAAACATGAATCAAAAGGGGGAAAAAACCTACAAAAACGGCATTAGGAAAGTGCTTCAATTTAGATTTTTATTCTGAGCACCTTAAAAAAAACCCAAAGCTCAGTTCCCATGGAAAATGTCTACTAAACTGACACTTCCAGTTTTGAAATGCTGCAGCATTTTACACAGGCAAGACAGGCTGGCAGAAGAGCTAACAGTATACAACTAATTACAGTGAAATTGCTGGTTCAGTGTTACCTACTAGTTCAATGTCCACTCAGAAGAAGGCCTATAATCATGATAGCACTGGAAATAAAAGACTTCCTGAACTCACTGGGGACTGCAGTTGGGAGAGATCCAGAGGCTACATGAAAAAAAAGTGGCAGGGTCCAGAGAACTTCCTAAGAACTTTCCTGTTGGCTGGGGAGGAAAAGATCAGCCAGCAATCAGCTTGATAAATTAGCATTGAAACACAGATAGCTGAGGAGAGCGGTACTCTGTTGCTGTGAGGAAATCACTGGAGGTACAGTGGGATGTAGGCAAATGGCCTGAAGGCACGTCATAGACTAGGACTTTTCAGTACCTGCGAACTGTATTATTGTAGTAGGAAATGTCTTATCTTTCATTATAGTATAAAATACTCTTGCTTCAGGTATTTTCATCTTTCTGTTCATGGTGGCCTCAAGGGGAAATAATGGCACACAATTTAAAGGGAATTATTTGGGTTTTTTAAGGGAAACATATACAGAGCTGGTGGAAGTATTTGCAAGGCTGCCTCATAGGATGATGTTGTCAACCAGTGTGTTCCAGGTATCAGAGGAAAATGGTCCAAATGCCTAATCTAGAGTTAGAACACTGGAGTTTAATTTCCTGCCCTATCACAGATAGAATCATAGAAACTATCTATCGATCAAACATCATCCTCAACTAGATCATCCCATCCAAGGCTTTTTATAGCCAGGTCTTAAAAACCTCCAAGGATAGAGATCCTACAAACTCTCCGAGAAGCCTGTTTCAGTGATTTACTACTCTCCTCGTGAGGATTTTTTCTCCCTAATATCTAAACTCAACTTTCCTTGCTGCAACTTCAAACCATCGCTCCTTGCTCTGTCATTTGCCACCACTGAGAACAGTCTACCTCCACCCTCTCTGGAATCACTGTTCACATAGTTAAATGTTGCTATTAAACCCCCCTCAGTCTTCTCTTCTCCAGACTAAATAAATCCAATTCCCTCAGTCTTTCCTCATAAGTCATGTTTCCTAGCCCTCTAACCATTTTCATTGCCCTCTGCTGGACTCTCTCCTATTTGTCTGCATCCTTTCTATAGTTTGGGTTCCAAAACTGGACACAGTACTTCAGATGGGGCCTCTCCAGTGCCGGGAATAATTACTTCCTTCAATCTTCTGAGAAATCTCCCTCAACACTCATAATGAAGCCCAGTATGCTGTTACACTTCTTGGTAACAAGGGCACATTGCTGGCTCATATTCATCTCATTTCCCACTGTCACCCCCAACTCCTTTTCTGCAGAGCTGGTGCTTAGTCAGGCAGTCCCCAGTCTGCACCAGTGCATGGGATTATTCTGTCCTAAGTGCAGGACATTGCACTTGTCTTTCTTGAACCTCATGTGATTTCTTTTGATCCAATCCTCCAATTTGTCAAGGTCTCTCTGAATCCCAGCCCTACCCTCCAGTGAATATACAGCCTCTTGAATTAGTGTTGTCAAAAAGCAGTAATCTTTAGTTCAATATTTACATGAGAGAAGGCATCAACCATCTCCCTAGGGTTTATCCTGGGTCCAATACTGTTTAATATATTGTGACTCTATTTCCCACTTTGAAGTATGTCAAACTGCCTTTGAGATCCAGTATCACCTGAGGGGAGAACAGGGGTGTGGAGTGCTAGAGCACATGGGAGTGCAGGAGGGGAGGAGACCAGGGGAGGGAAAGTGAAATAGTTCTGTTTTCATTCGACAGTCCTTTTTTAAACCTCTGTGCCAGGCTCTCTGCTGAAAACAGGGCAAAAGTCTTCTTTTGACCAAATCAATGGGACACCAGGTTAAGTGTTTAAAAATGGACTGTTCTAGTGACAACATGGCTAAATTTGCAAATAGAACCAAGTGGGATGGAGATGCAGATGTTTTGAAGAATAGGATAAGGATTCAAAATGACATTGATAAACTGGAAAATGGTCCAAAACTAATCAAATGAAATTCAGTAAGGACAAATGCAAAGTTCTTCACTTAGGATGGAACAATTGGATGCACAACTATAAATTGGAGAATGAATGCAAGACTACAAGTTAAATACTAAACAATAGTATGGTATTTCTACAAGAGAATTCAACAGCATACTTTGTTATATTACCAGAAGTGTCTCCTGCAAGTCCAAGGAAGATATTCTTCTGCTCTAATCAGCAAAGGTCTAATCCCGAAACTGGAGAAGAGGAGGTTATGGGGAGATTTGGTAACAGTCTTCAAATACAGCAAAGGTGATTGTAAGGAAGATGGTGATGTACTGTTCTCTGTGGACACAGAGAACAGGATAGAAAGTAAGTATCTTACAGTGCACCAAAGAATTTACATTAGGTATTAGGGGATACATCTACATGTCCAATTAATACAAAGCAATAAGCTCTGGCACATATCACACCAGTGTATTGCTCCTGGGCACATTTACATGTGCATTGGGGACTGCAGCACATTGAGTCGGGTCAGAGCAAACCCAGCTAGCAGAGGTTTCCTGGAGTCTACCTGCCAGCCTAGGGCTGCTCTGACTTGGCTCAATGTCCTGTGTAGGGGCTTACTGGGGCACAAAGGCTGCTTCAGTGTGGGGCCAGCTGACAGGCAGCCCTCGCACTGAAGCACCCCCATGCCCTAGCCAGCCCCATCAGCATCTACATGCGAGTTGCTGCACAGTAAATAACACAGTAATTCAGGGTAGTATTTCTATTTACAAGTACTAACCTATGGCAGTGCTTATTAGTTTACTGTGACTTAATAGGGCCACACGTGTAGACATGGCAATTTTACTGTGGAGCTAATTAAGCAGCATTTCAGTAAGCATGTGTACGTGCCCCCAGGAAGAACATTTTAACTATGAAGGTAATTAAAGAGAACATATTGCCTAGAGAATTTGTAGAATCTCCATTACTGGATGCTTTCAAGAGTAGGTCAGACACATCCTTGGATGAGATGGTTTTTGACAGGGAAGACACTGCCTGAGCAGGAGGTTGGATTAGACAATGTCTTGAGGTTTATTTCTCTATTACTTTTAGGGGGACCAAGGATAAGTCAATCTCTCTCTGTGCTTCACTTTCCTACCTGTAAAACAGATATGATAGCATTTTCTTAAGTGGGTCTTTTGAGAATAACTGCACTGAAGATTGGAGGTGCTCAAGCACTATGGTAATAGAGGATTTATAGGCACTTAAGATACATGAAGGTGACTAATGTATCCCAATGCCCGGAAGTGGAGTTGCTTACTTTATTTTACTTTTGACTTCATGCATTAAGCTTGCTAATACATCAGTCCATTTTGGCCAGGCCCTTTAATACACCCCTTTTAAAATGGCAAAATAAATTAACAATGGAAATAATGCACAAAGGCCCACATTCAAAAAGAAATGTGTGTGTGCCCATTGCTTTTTAGTTAGAATTTATATGCCTTTTCTCTGCTGTGCAATTCAGCAAAGTCCTACCTAAATGTTTATGTGCATGCAAAGTTTTGGGTATTTCAGCACAGAATTATGCATCCCAGAGCTTAGTTGATAATGGATCTAGTATTGAAAAAAAGGTACCTAATATGCATGCTTAGCAAGTCTGCCATTTTGAACGAGATGCATACTCTAACAATTTTGTTCTAGAGCCTCCTAACCCTAACAGGGTGCGTCTACACATGCATTTGACCTGATATCAGTTTACTTGCGAATAAACTACTCATGAGTAAATGCTCCCAGGCAAGCATCTACATATGCAGGGAACTGGGAACAGTTTGCAGCTCTAGGTACCCCCTGGGAGCCATCCCACGGGCTGATGGAGAGCACTGGGCTAGGAGACAACTGTCTCCTGGCTGAGGCTGGGACATTGCACCTTGTTCCTGGGGGAGGTGCCTGCTGCCAGGGTGGGAACAATGTCCCCCTGCCCTGGAAGCAGGGAGTTCCTGGCCCCAGCTCCCTAACTGGGGACAGGGAAGTTGGAAGGAGCTGCAGAAGAGGGATAGGTCTCCACCTCCTACCCTGATCTGCCAGTGGGGCACCTAGATAGCTCACTGCTAGCTGCCCCACTGGTGGATCAGGGCAGAGGGCTGGGACCTGTCCCTGACTGGGGAAGTTTCCAGCACCTGCTCCACAATCAGAAGACAGATTCTAGGGAGCCTGTTCCTCACTCAGCTATGTAAGCATGTAGCTGGGTGGGAAACAGGCTGGAAAGCCTGTTCCCTACTCAGGTCCCTGAGTGTGGAGCTGGGCAGGGAACAGGCTGAGTAACTTGTTCCCAGCTCAGGTCTGTGATGATGGAGCTGGGTGAGGAACAGGCTGGGGAGCTTTGCGGCTCTGCAGGCTGGGAGGTAAGGATCTCTCAGTGCGGCCCTGTGACTGTGGAGCTGGTACTGGGAGAAAAGGGTCTCCCACCCTCCACACTCTGCTCTCAATCTTGGAGCAGTGGGCTTGGAGCTCCCTGCTGCTGGGGCAGGGGGACAGCTCCCACTCAGGCTCTGCTCGAGGAGCCTGCCCATGCAGCAGGCAGCTCCCAGGGGCAGGGAGCAATCCCAATCAGGTGTCTACAGATTTGCTCCCAATCAGGTGTCTACATAAGCATTTCTGTGCCATTACTAATCACAAGTAAATTTGCTACTTGCATTTGCAGGTAGCAAATTTATTAATGATTAGTGAGATTTACTGCACAGTAAGCATGTGCATGTGCATGCATGTGCAGATGCACATGCTTACTGTGCAATAAACTACACTACTTCACAGTAAAGTATTGTGTAGATGCACCCACAGTTTGAACCCACACCTCTCACTTAGGGAGTTTTAGCCACTCAGAATATGGAATAGGCAGGGACCAAGGTGCTAGTTTCACTCAAGGTGGATTATGGAATCCCAAAATTTATAAAAGTCATGGGTCTAGAAAGAGAGGACAGAATAGAGAGCTTGCCTTTGCAAGTAACATGCCAGGAACACTCCAGGCATGCGGGTGCTCTCTTTGAAGAGACAGATCCCTGGTTTCTGCCCTCCACCTTTTAAGGATAAAAAATTTCAACAACATTAAGAAGTGGGAAGAAAACCCCAAGGGGAGAGCTGTGCTCACTAGGCTACAGGGCTATGTTATTTTTATTTTTTTGTTCTCCATTTGGTCCTATTCATAGGTGCTGAGAAGCCCAGCTTCAAAAGGAGGAATGCAGCATGAGTATGACCTGGTAGTTAGAGCATGTTCCTGGGAAGTGGGAGAAGCATGGAAAATATAATATATAACTTACAACCCAGATTTCTTACCATCTAGGCAAGTGTCCTAATCACTTGGTCACTGGGCTAAAGTAAGTGGGTTGTCCTTTGTTTGAGACTTGATAAGGCCAAGACATTAGTTTAGGTTTAGGCTGCAGTTTTTGCATTTGACTTCTGACTTAACAGAAACCCTAATGTGGGGCTGAAGATAACTACATAAAAGCCTCCTCACTCCAAGATGGGGGTAGAGTTCTAGACACGTGCTCCTATTCCACTTTTCCTGTTGGCTAGCCTATGTATCCCTCCGCATTGTGTGCTGTCTACTACATTATATGCTGACTACAGAATGCATGCATTTGTCTACATTGGAGGTATAGAGGCCCAGGATGTTAAATTCTTTATTTCAAATTCTACCACTTGGTCCACCTAAATTCTAGGCATAACAATACACAGCATCAGAGAGATAAAGAGCCTTAATGAATCAGGTCCAAATTGTATAGTCTATATTTTTTATTTGCAGGTTAACACTCATGCTAGTTCTTTTATAAAAGAAAGGAAATATTTCCTAAAGATACAGATAAAAAATGCAAGGTATTATCAATGAAACTTAAAAAACAATCATGTTTCTCCTTGTGTTATATTCTATGTATTTATTTTCCCTTGAGCAGACAGCAAGAAAAAGATGGATTTAAAACTTGATATGGAGTCATAAAGAATGGATAGGCTTTTAGACAGCCTGCCCAGGTCTGAATTTCGCCCCTACATTGCAAACATTTTGTAGTAAAGATTTGTGGACTTGTTCTGTAGTTCACTACTTTTACTGCACCAAGCATTCTTATGTCATTGTATAAATAAAAATGAATTAATAGAATAGAAATGGGAAGGGCTATCTCCAAACAGGTAATTTTAAAATAGATATCAGTAATTTCTTAACCTAGCTGCTCAAGCAGTCTAAAGGTTAAAAAAAGTATTACTGGCTTCTAGTGATACTGATAAAAGAACTGGCCCCTTACTTTGAGAGATCCTATGGTCTGATTATAACATTTGAACATCCCCACTATTAAAAATAGCATCCACTTTCCTTCCTATAGACTTCAGGGGTAATGTCATGCCAGTCCATAAACTAGCATAAGACATTATAAGTCAGTGGTTAAAACATCCCTCAAACACCTACAACTGCTGCAGAGACATTAAAAAGGGGGAAAAAAGGGATGAGGTATATAGAAACATATATGAAAAGAAGCTTTGAACATGAAAGAGTTTCTTTCCCTCAGAAAAACCTTGTGTAAACAGGCTTCATATCATGAGATAAGGAAAATGTGGAGTAAAAATCTAGCACAGGATGGAGCTATAATCTTTTTACAAATAGAGAAATATTTTTACATCAAATATGATAAATTAAAAAAGAAGTTGCACAAAAATTATAGCATTTGTAAATGGGAGACTAGAAGGTGGAGGTGGGGGGAGGGAATGGAAATAGCAGATCTCAGAAACTCCTCTACTTGCCAAAAATAAAGACAAAGGAAAACATTCATATCAGGAAACTATTCATAGATCCGACTCCTAAACCCTGCACTCCAAAGACTCCTCTCCCAAGAGAACCATTAAACTGGGTTTTGTACACCAGAATGTCAAATAAGTGTTTCTATTAAAAAGCAGTCAAAACAGGAACATGAAACTGAATGGAAAACCATCTATCATTGTCCCACTGAAAGGCAGATAATCGGTTGCTATTTAGGAGAAGTCAGGAAGCAAATAAAATAAACAAAATACCTGTTTTCCCTCCTCACTCAGCTCAGATTTGGCTCTTAATGCACTGAAGTCTCTCTCTCATTTTTGTAAGTCCTTACTACCTTGTGGTAAAAAGGAAGGAAAATTAGAAGTAGGTCTTTCTCAAAGACAAAAATGAATGTATAAGAGGATTTAAAGGGATGAAACTATTACATCCTAAGAATATTCAAAAGCTTCATCTTAAGAACATTTACAAACAAGGATAACCTCATATGAACAATCCCATTTTAGCCTCTATGGGTATGATCATGTACCACTATTTCTGGTGGGCAAATACAAAAATAACTGTATCCCACAAGGTCCGAATATGATAGTCATTGACTAAAGCCTCCGATTCCATCAGTCATGAAACCTTGTGGAAAGTATTGACCACAATCAGATAAACGTAACCATTTTTTGTAGAGGCATGGAGAGAGATCTATTTGCCACCTGAACTGGGGTCAAGCAAGGATGTGTCATTCTCTGTTCTCCATTTTCTGACAGTCATCTTAGTTCTCATTAATTACCACCTTCCTTCCAGAATTGACATTGACCAAACAGGTGGAGGGCTTTTCAGTTTGGGACGTTTCACTCAAAGACCAAAATATTCAAAACAACCATCCTTGACCTTTAATAAGTTGATGACTTATGTCATCCTTATTCACACTGAGCAAAACCTCCAGACTGCACTGGATCTCTTCAGAGAAGCTTACCAAATGTTGTGCCTCTCTCTTAACATCAAGAAGACTAAAGTGCTAGATCAGCCTGTTCTGTGCCATGAATGTGATACCTCCTCCCCAAATTACCATTGAGAGAGAGAGAGAGAGAGAGAGAGAGAGAGACCATGGAGGTAGTTGAGCACTTCCTACTTGGATAGTTACCTCTCTCAGAGAGTGAACAATGATGCAGATATCCAACACAGAATCCAATGCACAGGTATCTCCATTGGGAAATTGTTTTGGTATGTCTTAATTGATTGTGATCTCTGGAAAGAAACCAAGATCCAGGTCTACATTGAAGTCATTATTCCCACTCTTCTCTATGGATGCAAAATGTGGGTGACCTGCTGTCATAAACTCAAGAGCCTGAAGAAATATCATCAATTCCTCTGGAAAATCGTCCATGTCAAATGAGAAAAATTGCAGTGCAAATGCCAGCATCCTTGCTGAAACCAATGTTACCTGCATTAAATTGGTGATCCTCAAGCACCAACTTCACTGGGCCGGACATTTTGTGTAGATTTCTGACTCTTGACTCCCAAAACAAGTTCTCTACTCCCAGCTTAGCTATGGACTGAGATCTCATGGTGGCCAGAGGAAGATCTACAAGGACAAATTGAAGGCATCTCAAGAAAATAGATGCCAACAGCGAGGGGGGGGGGGGGGGGGGGGGGGAGCTGGCTGCTAACTGGCTCCATTGGTACTGCAACCTCAACCAAGCACCATTTCATTTTGAGGTAAAGTGTCTTGCCCTCAAGGCAGAAATGAGAGAGTGGAGAAAATTAAAAGAAAGGAATGTCAGCCTACTCCCCCTGTGGAAAGACATGCAACTACTGTAGATGGATCTTTATCTTGAGGTTTGCTTGAGGAGGGGTTTAAACCAAGTTCACCAGGGGAAGGAGACTAAAGCCCTGAGGTAAATGGGGAAGTGGGTGACCTGAACAAAGCACAACCAGGAGGTGGAAACAGAGGAGGCCTCCTCATTCTTCCTGAGAAATTAGGGCAATCAGCTAATTACCTCAGATGTCTACACCTGAATGGATGGAGCCCGGGAAACAAGAAGGAAGAATTGGAAGTCCTTGCAAATTACAGAATTATGACGTGATTTGAATAATGGAGACATGGTGGGGCAGCTTGTATGACTGGAGTACTTACATGAGTGGGTATAAGTTGTTCAGCAAGGACAGGCAAGGGAAAAGAGGAGAAGTTACTCTACATGCAAAATAACTGTATGATTGCTCAAATGATTGCTCCAAAGACTCCTCTCCCAAGAGAACCATTAAACTGGGTTTTGTATACCAGAATGTCAAATAAGTGTTTCTATTAAAAAGCATATAATATGAAACTGGAGACAGGCCTGTTGGAAGTCTGGGTTAGGGTCAGAGGAGAGAGAGCAAGAAGGATGATCTCATAGTGGGCGTCTGGTATAGACCACCAGACCAGGTGTCCTGCATTTAGGGCAGAACAATCCCTTACACTGATACAGACTGAAGATTGACCAGCAAAGCAGCAGCTCTTTAAGAAATGACCTGGGAATTACAGTGGACAATAAATTGAACGCAAGTCAACAATGTGTCCTTTTTGAGAAGAAGTCTAACAGCATACAGGGCTGCATTAGGTGACCTATTACCAGCTGATTGAGGGAAGTGATTATTCCCCTCTATTTGGCACTGGTGAGGCTACATTTGGAGTACTGTGTTCAGTTTTGGGCTCCTCGCTACAGAAAAGATGTGGTGGACAAATTGGAGAGAGTCCAGTGGAGGGCAATGAAAATGGTCAGGGGGCTGAGGCACATGACTTGTGAGAAGAGGCTGAGGGAACTGGGTTTATTTAGTCTGCAGAAGAGAAGTTGGGGGTGGGGGGATGGTTAATAGCAGCCTTTAACTACCTGAACAGTGGTTACAAAGAGGACGTGGTCAGTGGCGGCCGACGACAGCATAAGGAGCTATATTTTCAAGTTTCAGTAAGGGAATTTGAGGTAATATATTAGGAACAACTCTCTCACTAGGAGGGTAATAAAGCACTGGAACAGGCTACTGAGAGAGGTTGTGGAATCTCCACCCCTAGAGGTTTTAAGACCTGGGTAAAAGAAATCTTGGCTGGGATGATCTAGCTGGGGATGGCCCTGCTTTGAGCAGAGGGTTGGACTAGATGACTCCCTGAAGTCCCTTCCAACCCTAATGTTCTATGACTGGACTCTGAAGTCACCTCAAGACCCATCAATGAGCCATAGTAGAGGTCATCCTCAAATTGAGGGATTTCCAACAATATTTAGTGGTAGTGTTTTCAGGATCAAGCTGAGAGTTAGGAGCATCTGATGTTCTTAACCTGCAGCATCATAAGAGAAACTGTGTTGTAATATATTTTTATCCTCAATTTTAATATTTGTATGTTTATTCATTTCCTTATATTTAAAAAAAAAAAAAAAAAAGATAGAGACATGCTGCCAATATACTCTCTCTCTCTCTCTCTCTTAATAACAGTGTGTATTTTTTGTAGACAGGGGAAAAAACCCTGGAGGATGTTTTCACACCCTAACACACAATTTTTTAAATTAGCCGTAATAAAGGAGGCATCACCACTAAGTGAAGGCAAGTATTGAGCAGACCTCTTCAAAAATATTTGGACCATGTTCCAGAAAATTGAACTGAGTTTATTGATAGTTATAGCTCAAAGCTGAACTTTGTAGTGTTTGGGATGGGGTTGGAATAAAACAGACATAGGGTGAATTCCTTGTTTCATTGAAGCTAATTGCAAAACTCTCACTAACTGCAATAGAGCCAGGATTTTATCCCTGGTAGAGAAGTCCAGAAACATTTTCTCCTGGGAAATTATTTTGCTAACTTGCACTTTTAGATACAATCTGGTATATTCCACAGAAAAAATATTTCCTTTCAGGACTATTTTTATGATTCAATAGAGGAATTCATTTCTGACAGGGATGATTTAACACTATCAAACACAGAGACATATACCATTGTGCTGTGCCGGGAATTTATTTCAAACCTCTATTCTTTCTGCTAAATTATAATAATGATCTCTTGAGAGGCCACACAGGAGCACATCAGATGTGCTATCACCTGTAGACTTATAGGAATGGTCCACGTTTCATCACCCCAGTCAAAGCCTGGGAGGCACGAGGCCTGTGGTGTGTAGGCAAAGCACTGCTATTTCATCAGTGCAGCTGACCAGCTCTTCCAGTTGATATCAAAGAACAGATATCATCTCTAACACTTGGTTCTGATTTGCACTACTAGTCTCATCCAATCCTTTGAGTCAGATGAGCATGCAGTAATAATAAGTACGACCCTTAGCAATCTGTCACCATATAGTTTCTGGCTATGTACAAGATTTATCAAATCAGTAACCCTACAGCAACAAAATCCTTCCTGTAGAAGGTTGAGCTTGAAGGGGAAAACTATTGAGATTCTCATCCTCTTTGTCAAAGAAATGCAAATTAAAAATAGTAAATGATTTGAATCCCGATTCAAAGTTTATACAAAGCAGTGAAAAGATCCCATTAGCTTTAATGGTCATTAGATCAGAGCCTTAGAGAATAAAATAAAGTGGTGACGTTTCATAAAGAAATTGAGACTGCAGATTTTAAAAGGTCTTTGCAAACAAAGGGAAAACTGAACCAATTATTAAATGATAAAACAATGATGGAAGTTAACTAGGTGAAACAAAGGAACTGTTAAAAGTGGCAACAGAGCAAGCAGCCTTTTAGCTTTTCAGCTCATAAACAACAAGCAGGATGAGTGATAGCAGAATGCACATCCCTCAGGCTTAGTTTTTTCACATCAAATCATTCAAGCTGTCTAGAATTTCTGTCAAGATTTATACACAAATAACATCCCTTCTGATTTACTAAGTAAAATAAAAATTCTCAGACCCGGTAACTAAAAGAAAATACTGGAGGAATTAAAAGACTTTCTTTGGTATATACGGTCACTTCAAAAGAATTAAAAAACCAAAAGCATAACAAATTACTCCATTCAAAAACTATAAAAATACCAGGTCCACCTGAATAATTATTTAACATATTTAGAACAAACAGAACTTGCAACACTAATATTCAAAGTGGTGTGATGCCAGAAAAATTAGCAAACAGCAATCATATCAGTAGTATATAAGGAAAGGAAAAACTTGGTGCATTGAATTTTGTACAAATCCATTTCTCTAAACAGACTATCACTGTGACTCCTTCAACATATATCTACACCAGCCTGATATATTTATATTCAACTTTAAACATGAAGATGAGACTTTCAGAAAACTGAAATGATTGAAATAGACAGTAATTAAGTGAAATTAATGGAAAGTATTACTTTATTACTTTCTGAAAAAAAATAGTCTCTAAGGTTCTGTCACACGTCACTAAAGGATAGAGACCTGAGCTAATTGTCACAGAGATAGAGATAAGTTAATTATATGCTTATAATTTTCTCCTGCTGCAATAAGATTTTAGATTTCTATCAAAAACAAAGGCAGCATACACATGAGCATGGACATTTGTTTCCCTGGGGACAAGAAGCAGCGGCACACCTTGTGCTGCTGCTACTTGTCTCCAGGAAATGCTAGTGCCACATGAGCTCTGGCATGCAACAGGTTACCCCAGGTTGGGTAGAGGAGGTTGAGTCCAGCAACTGTGGGATCTTGGGGGCCTCAGGAAGCTGCAGCTGTGGTGCTCCTGCAGCTGGGAGCCTAGCCAGCAGTGGAAGCACGGCTCTGGCAAGCCGGGCTCTGGTTTTGGGTGGCATACACCGCCACCTTGTGTGCCACCCTGCCTTTTTTTTGTTGTTTTTTTTGTTTTTCTTAAGGCACAGGTTTTTTTGACCCTGGGATCTCCTGTGGTAAAAAAAAGAAACCCGCACTGCAAGGTAGCAGCATGGGGAATGCCTGCATGTGCAGTGTGTGTCTGCAATGCTACATACTGCACATCCACACTCATCTGGACACAGGCACAAAATGCCCCCATGTTCTATAGCAGGGGTAGACAATGTTTTTGGCTGGAGCTCCAAAAACATCCCAATCTTTACCCACACCTTGACTTGGTGTGCCAGAGGCAGAGGGCAGGGGAGTTGCAAGGGGCCCAATCCTTGTTTCATGCCATGCTCTGACACACATGCCTGGTGTTGCTGACCCCTGCTCTATAGAATCAGTTAGGTTTTATGGTTCTGAATGTGCTATATCATAACTTCCAAATAAACAAAAGAAATCTTGAAATCCTAAACTCCATGGCAAAGGCTACTGCCTAGATTCATTGATCTGCTCTTATTTTGATTTTTATATATGCTTAAATATATCCATTTAGCTTCAAGCAAGTGTAACCCTTCTGCTGGGCGCTGGTCAGCAGCACAAAGGCTGAGTTCACATTTTGGGATACCTTATACATTTATAACCATGGCTCAAGCCCCCACCCAGAAATCTGGGAACACTAAATTAATTACTGGGGTGTCCCACATAAACAAAAAAACCCAAACCCTCCTCACAAGCAATGTAACCAAAAAAAAAAAGCTGATTTAATACAGAAAACAGGGAAAAAAAACACCAAATGCAATGTGAAACACTGCTAACTACACAACATAGTCTATAGGATGTGCTGCGCCAGGTAGAAGCTGCTTGAGAGTGTGGTGGTGCAAGGGGTCCCTCAGTGCTCATAGAGGGATAGTTGTATGGCAATCTTTGCTCCCACAGAAAGGCTGTATATGCGTGTGGGAAGTGACTGCAGCTCCAGACAGCATGCACTCACACCACACTTCTGGGCTGGATTATATGGCCTGCAGAAATGAAAACTGCAGGAAAAATCCAAAGGAACCAGGTTGATTAATGGTTACAGCTGGCCCAAAACTGGAAAGATTAGAAACACCCAGGTTCCAACCCTGTTTAAGTTTCCAGGCCTAAATCCTACCCAGGAAACTCAACAAACCAACACACTTTCCCCAAGTATTAATCCCTTAAAACCTCAAAAAAGAAAAAGGGAAAGAAAAGGAGGAGAGAGGTATTCCCAGACATTGGGACAATACTCCTTCTCACTTGGAGAAGACTTCACTCTTCAGGAACCCCTAGCAGCTTCTCCTCTAAACCAGTCTAGCTCCCCTTATATTGCTTTGCTTTACATCACCCTGGCCTTATCCAGGCAGGGAGCACCACACACCAGTTCCTCTCCCAACCAATCAGTCAGAGAATTCCTCTGCTCTCCTGGCCAATGAGGCCAGAGGGTTTTACATATTATCCCCAGATACAGCCCCCAGCTTGCCATGTTCTGAGCACATGGCCAGAACACAGGGGCCATCTTTCCCACAAACTCCCCCCTGCCAAAAACCCCCACAGCACCAGGGGGGGGGGGGGGGGACGCTGTTACCCAAGCATTTAATTAGGGTGAAGTTATACATTATACTTAGATTGTACTACAATAAGACCACTTAAAACATAAGTATCCACACATTAAAGCACATTAGTGTGTGCTAAGTACCCTTTGAGCATCTCAAAGTGACTCCATTCAGATGAGGATTAACTCTGGGTCATGCTACCTAACTCATGTTAGAGTAACTTCAGCTTGTTCCATGAAGATAAAATGAACAATTTGCAGTCCTAAAGCATTCCATGGTGCACCAATCCCAGCCCTCTCCCCCTCCACCCAAAGGAGGGATAATGCTCAATTGCCTTAGTTCCTAGCCATGCCTCTTCTCTCCAGCCCTCTAGGCCAAGTACAGACAGTCAAAAAGCCCAAGGCTGAATGAATTCAGTCTTTGCAGGTTAGTCTAAAATGCAGAGATTAAATGAGAAACAAGTGGACAGACATTAAATCTGGATTCAGGTAATGCAGCCACATACCTGCAGCAGCTCAGGCCAAAAGCTGGGAGTAGGGGGAGCTGCTAGAACATGGCTTTCTGGTATGCAGCCAGCGTAGACTATACATTTGCTTCCTCTTCCTGCCACCCCTGAGGTCTCTGGGATTTGTAGTCCACAATCATAGCAGCAGGACTCTGCAGGGTTGCTCATCACTTCCTCTTCCTGCTTCCATGTGTCTCTGGGATTTGTAGTCCACAGTCACAGCCAGCACCAAGTTTTTAGCAGGGCAGCTCTGTACTTGGGGAATGGAAGTTTAACTTTGCTCCCTAGTCCTAGACCCCAGCTGGGGATTGCAGGGGCGGAGTCCCTTCCTCCTTCTCTTATCTGCTGGAGCAGACAGAACAGCCCAGACCAGGGCTGGAAAGCATGCTGGGGGACTGTGATTTAACCTCAACCAGGAAGGGATCTGGGCATAAATTTGTGCGACCCAAATCAGTTAAGTCTGATACTACACTCAAGCAGGTTTCTCTTAAACCATTTTCAAAATGCCTAAAATTGGTTTATGTGCACTGAACTTCTGTTCTGTTACAGGATTAAACCGGTTTCTGATTACTTAAACCAGTTTATGTGTAACTTCTGTCCCTAGCTCTAGTGGCAAGACAGAGATGTGCAGGCAAGAAACAGTATTAACCCTTAATGTGCTCACCACATGTTTTAACTTTAACACTACTTAGCATTCCAGGCATCTAGTATGGTCAAAGTCTAGCATGTAACTTTATCCCAAGTGTTGGTAAAATAAATAGGAGTTAAGAGTCACAGCCTGGTATGCAAGTGGCTGGTGGCAGGAAAAGGTGAGGGCAACATTCCCCCATTACTCCTCATGCTGCTGGTGGAGCAGCTGGTACAGAAGTCCCATGGGCAGCAGCAGCAGCAACAAGTTTCACCAACACACTGTCCTCCCATGCTGGATCTGACCAGGGTGGCTCCTACCTGTTCCAGTGTTGCCAGGTTGCAGCCCCATGCCTGCTGCTGTGGGTGCACAAATCTGAGGGAGTATGTGTCCTTCATACCCCACACACCCACCCCCTGCCCCACACACTGGGAGGATGGGGTCTAGGGGTGGGGGGAAGTGAGTCAGGAGAGAGGGGCACCATCAGGGCTGGAGGGAGTAGGGGGCTGTGGGTTGAGAGTGATGGGCAACAGCAGAGTCAGGGGACTGTTTTTTACTTAGACTATTTATCGGGTTGGGACTGGCCATCAATGTTTACAAATGGGTCCGGGTACAAAAAAGGTTGAGAACTAATGATATATAGATTACTACTGTATAAGCCAGGGGTGTCAAACATATGGCCTGTGGGCTGGAGGCAGCCTGGGGCACCATTCTATCTGGCCTGCCAGTAGTTCAGTGGGCTACTGGAAGTTGGTGGCATTGTCAATAGTGTGTGACCTGCCACAAAATTTGGGGTCCTTGGACCCTGATGGATATGGCCATTTGTGGGCAGGGTAGTGAGCATGGGTTATGCAGATACAGCCCTTGCTTGCCCTACTTGAGAGAGCCCTGTTCCATTGCCCAAACACCCACCTGTGCTTCCATTTGTTCCTCTATATGCACTGCTGCCCAAGCCCCCAACCAGACCCAAATCAGTGCTACTGCTCGATCTCCCACTTGTGTTGCTGCTTGATACCTGATCCATGCTGCCATCTGTTCTCCCTCTCATGCTGTCACTCAATGCCCAACCTGTGCTCCTGCTCATCCTTGGAACTGCACCACTGACCCCATACCTGGATTAACTGGAGCTGCTGCTGGCTTCACGAATCTGGCCTTGGAGGAGCCCCCATGGTCTAGATCTGGCTTGGGGTCCAAGGTGATTTGGACACCCATGGTATAAGCCATGTGTCAAGGTGATGCAATTTGAAATGGTTAAATATTATTATGTAAAAAAAATGCAATTTCTAAAAAAATACTGCCTAACTAATAAAAGCAGATTTACTATGACAGCAATGAACATATTAACTCTGATAGCTAAAAGTATCTAAGTAAAGATGGAAATGGTTAAAAATAAAGGTGGTGAAGGATAGACAGAGTAAAAGGCAGAAGAGTTGATCTGAGCACTAATACTATAGTTTATGATACACTATACCTACTGTGCGTGAGGCATGAAAAGCCATGTGTGAGAACTGATAATACACAATATGATTAATCAACATGTAGCAAGGAAAACATCTGCTGGGACCATGCTGTATAATCTGTAGTACAATGTTAAATACAAGAAGAAATAAAATGAAAAACAAACAAACAAACATATATCAGGGTCAAATTAAAACTGCCAGAGCTTAGAGAGATAAATAAAAGACATACCAAAGAGGAGGTTCCTGAATGAAGATCAAGGGAAGATTATTGATTTATTGATGAAAATTATTCTGCTAGAAAAACTGAACCAATTATGCTAAGAAAGACTAAAATACATTTAACATAATTGATGGTTTAATACAGCTTTTCGAATGCTACAATCATAGTCAAATACCCTATCCAAGAAAAGTAGTTATGTCAAACACTTGAATTTATGACTCATAAAAAAATGTGCTTGATCAAATGAGACTGGGTATCTGAATCTATTTTACTTTAATGACTATATTCCTCAGTTCAACAAAACTTAAGAACACATACAAGAATGCACATAATCCTATATTATTCAATAAACCTGAAAGCTTAAAGTTACCTGTGGTTTAAATACATTACTGCAGCAGTGTCAAATATGGTGTGTGAGCTAGATCCAGTATGTAGAACCGTACCATTCAGCTCACTGGTAGTCTGGCAGGCTAAAGAAAGTTGTGGGGCCATGGCCTTTTGCAGCATTTGGGATCCCTAGGCTCCAATGGACATGGTCATCAGCAGCAGTGCCCTAGACCCATGCTGCCACCTAAACACTGCCCTATTCTATTGCCTATCTCTGCCCCCCTGCAGCCACCTAAATGCAGTCCTTGCACTGCTGCCCCTCCCTGGTCCCATGCTAAACACAGATACACACTGCCCAAACATGACTGCACACTGTTGTCTGGCAGATTCACACTGCCAACTGAACGCAGCTCTGTTCCCAGTGTGGCCTCACCGCAGTTGCTGCTAGCTCTGCAGATATGGCTTGAGAGTCACTGTGGTCCAGATCCAATTTGGGGCTTGTGTTGAATTTCACACACCAATGTTACTGAATTGGGGCCTTTGGAAAGCTCAGCACATTACAAAAATGTTCAGAATACAACATTGCAGTCATGTTTAATACTACCTCTAGTTTTAAATAGGGTAGATATTTAACTAGTTTGAGTTAATAGGTCATTGTTCAGCAAGCACATATACCCACATGCTTAACTTTTATCCCATCTATAGTCATATTGACTCTATACGTATTTAACTGTAAGCATGCGGATAGTTGCTCTACTCAACTTTGAAGAGTTAAGACATATATGAACGCAAAACACAATTATATTAGGCTCATGACCACTGGCAACTGCAGTACTGTACAATGGGTAGGATTTTGAATCAGATTCAAGAGATCTGGGTTGTGCCACTGACAATCCTGCTCTACGTCCAAAGAACATTTCAGTGGGGAAGAAATTGAGGTAGGGAAGTTTTCAGAGGTCTCCTGACTTAGGTATTTCTTGTGCTCTATAACTGAAGATTAATTTGTCTTATCCAAAGCCTCTATGGGTGTGTCCAGACAAGCACGCACATGCCTGTTGCCCTGCCTCAAACCCCTTTGAGGCAGGGCAACAGGCACATGCAGGAACGAAAAGACATGTATGGATGAAATTCTTAGAGAAGGATGACCTTAGGTCCTGATGAGTTTGAATGTTCAGTAGTCATCCTCTAGAAGGCTGTTTGGACTCTGTTTTCATGAACAGGGAGAAGACAAAGTCTGTGCCCAAGAAATGTGTAAGTGAGAACAGTGCCACAGCCAGTCCACTTTGGCTAGAGAAATTTAAATGAAACATGCCTGTTTTAAAATAATATAATTTTAAATACTTGAAGACTAAGTACAGTGGTACCATTTTCAGTTAACACTTCTGATTCTCAGATTTGCTTTTGTGCTCCTCCTACGCCCATTCCATATCACTGAGGAAGAGTCTTCTTAGCTGTGTTGCTGAAGCTGTTTCTTTGAACATGAAGCTACTGAAATAATCCAATAAGATCTGCCATCACTGAATTCCTTTGTTCAGTGAATTCCTGAATTTACTGAATTATTTTGTCTTTACCACCATATTTTTTTTTATTATATGGCAGCCTAGTCTTTTAAGTTCATATTTAAATATCTATAATACTGGTTTGATTGCTGTATTGCATCTTCTGTTGAAAATTTAATTTTTAACAAATTCCAAAGCATATGGTTTAGGCTTTTAAAAATGCAGCTAAATCACATCAGACATTTAATTTATCTGGAAAAAGTGCATCTGTAGCACTAGAACTACATCCTGGCCAAATGTTGGGTTTTATCTGTCCACTGAAATGCTACTTTTTTCCAAATAAAAAAGAATAAAAGAAAGATTAAAAGAAAAAAAGTTACAAGAATGTTACAGAAGTCTGAAATTGTTTATTCCCCTTTTTGTTCTTCAAAAGAGCTCTTTTCCCTTCCTAAACCTAAACTTTCCTGTATATCATCTGAATATCCTTTAAAACTAAAAACATGCAAATCTGCATAATCAGTATTTGTCCAACATTCTTGTCAAAAAACAATGAATCTAGCATAATATTAGACTCTTCTTTCCCAACTTCCATTTCACACTTCCTCCCATTTTTCACAAGCATGAAAAGAAAAATAAATAAATAAAAAGGAGACCTAAGAAATCCATAAGGGATAATATAATACAGCAGCCAACGACCTTTTAAGGCTGTGAGTTGGAGTATCACAATTCAAGTTAGAGTCATACAGACTTGCAGGCACTAGGACCTTGCTGCTGTCCCTGCTACTCTTACCCATGGTAGTCAGGGAAAAGCAACTGCTACTGGACCCCCACTTTTTTAGGCCAGATCCAATGGCTCTGCAGGCTGGATCCAGCCTATAGGATGTAGGTGCTGACCCTGGATACTATAGTTTTGTGGTCTTTGTTAACATGGACCCTTTCTCTGACCACCCCTTCTAAATTGTCCGCCAATAAATCCATTCCATATT